GAAGAACTGATGGAAAGCGAGTGTAAATCATAAACTGGAGAGGTTTTCTTTTTATTTTTAGGCGGTGTTCAGTAGCAAATGGGAGCGCTGTGCTAATTTGCACGACGTGTGACAAAGTCTTCGAAACCCCTGCCAAATTGAAAAGCCACGTGAGCCTGTGTAAAACGCCAAAACGGTTTCCCTGCGAAATATGTGGGAAAGTTTTCAAATTCAAATGCAGACTGGTAGCTCACAAAACGTGTCATGCTGAAGGTACTGGAAGACCTTTGCTTGATGATGAGGAAAAAACCGCGGGAGCACGGAACGAAATCGAATTTCCGCAGCAGAAAATGGAAGATTCTGCTGAGCAAAATTTGAACGATGGTGGTGAATCACTGGATTTGCTGAGTTCTCTGAACTTGCCGAATACTGGTGATGGCGAACTTCCCGTGGGAGACGTGCTGTTCAGTCTGTGATTCGAAGTCTCTCCTGTGACCGACAAAAGAGGAATTTTCACGTCAGTGTTTTTTACAGAATTATACACTGATGATTCGTTTTTTCTGATATCGCGTGAGACACGTGAGACTCCTGGGCAATCTTAGAATAATTTTCATCATTAATTACATAACGTTTTGGAGCTGGGTTTCTATCGAATTCGATATTTCATGCATTTTTGAAGATGTCATTGTCATTTCAAGTCCCCGCGAAAAAAAATGAACTTCAATACAGTAAATTCATGAAGTATCATGAATTGCATATTTTTGGTCAAGTTCGAGTACAGGTACCTGCTGAAAGTTGTTCATGTTGTACTTCGAAGCTGAATATTCAACTTCACTTCAATAAATCTTTGTTAATCCTCTTTCCTGTTGAACCCTACTTTTGTTGTTTCTCTCACACTGGTTTGAATTTTCAATCTTCTCCGAGTGTCTCTTGCTTAAAAAAATTGAAATCACTAGTTGTTTTAATAACTTGAACAAGGATTGACACTTGCTTCGCAAAACCTGTTCGTTGGCCCCATTGTTCGCTCCATCTTTTATTTTTCTTATTTCGGAAATTTGATGGGTAGATATCGGAAAAACAGCTCCGAATCCAAGTCGTAGCCAGCAGACGGGCCTCATTAAGACCTACTACTACACTTACCACGTTGTACGCTTTGTGGCGCTGGGGCAGCAAGCGTTGGGCCAGCTCGACGCGCGTCTAACTGATTCTATAGGTTTGCTGTTATAATTTTCTGGGAGAATTTCCGTGATCATTTGCTGTCTTGTATTCAGTGAAAAAGATTTTTTGATGTCTGTAATTCAGATGTTGATAATGATCTGAGAATTTAATTATTTTCAATGTTACATATTTTGCGATGACCATGTACATTAATGTTCATTATTCTCGTCCTTAGGAATTACGGTATAAGCTTTTCGTATGCCTTTGATTTGTTTTCCGATGTTTTCCGAATTTCTATTCCTGCATAGTANATTTGTTTTCCGATGTTTTCCGAATTTCTATTACTGCATAGTAAAATCTTATTGTAACAAAACCGTTGAGACCAGTAAAATACTGTACTGTAGCTTCTTTGAAATAAAAAATTCGTTAATAATTGACACATATAACATTTCGTCTCCTGGGTAAGGCCATGTAAAACGAATTCATGAGCGATTATTCGTTGTTGACTCGTTTGACCGTTATTTGACTACATTTTTAATTTTTTTACAACAAATCTTGTTCGAAGCGATTTTTCGTGATAACGTCGTTTGTTGTTCCAAGATTTCCGTAGAATCTTGTTACAACAAATCTCGTCATCACAAAAATTCGTTTCAAACACATGTTGTTACAACAAATCTCGTCATCACAAAAATTCGTTTCAAACACATGTTGTAACAAGATTCTACTGAAATCTTGTTACAAAAGAACGTAACAGAACGCATGTTGTAACAAGATTCTACTGAAATCTTGTTACAAAAGAACGTAACAGAGCTCATGTTGTAACAAGATTTCAGTAGAATCTTGTTACAACATGCGTTCGAAACGAATTTTTGTGATGACGAGATTTGTTTCGAACGCATGTTGTAACAAGATTTTACTGAAATCTTGTTACAACAAACCACGTTAGTCTCAAGATTTCAGTAGAATCTTGTTACAACATGCGTTCTGTTACGTTCTTTTGTAACAAGATTTCAGTAGAATCTTGTTACATGTGTTTGAAACGAATTTTTGTGATGACGAGATTTGTTAGAACAACATGTGTTTAAAACGAATTTTTGTGATGACGAGATTTGTTGTAACAAGATTCTACGGAAATCTTGGAACAACAAACGACGTTATCACGAAAAATCGCTTCGAACAACATTTGTTGAAAAAAAAAAAATGTAGTCAAATAACGGTCAAACGAGTCAACAACGAATAATCGCTCATGAATTCGTTTTACATGGCCTTACCCAGGAGACGAAATGTTAAATGTGTCAATTATTAACGAATTTTTTATTTCAAAGAAGCTACAGTACAGTATTTTACTGGTCTCAACGGTTTTGTTACAATAAGATTTTACTATGCAGGAATAGAAATTCGGAAAACATCGGAAAACAAAATGCTGAAACTGATTTTGGGAGGCGGTTAGGTAAAGTTATTATGTTAGTTACAAATATCTTTTAATTAACATAACCTGAGCTAACCTAACTTTACCTAACCGCCTCCCAAGATCAGTTTCAGCAGAATGCGGAAAAATAAAATTCACAGTTTCTGGTAGGTCGTCGTGATTATGAGCTTGTCCTAAAGATTTGTCTGGACGGTAGTGCGGTCTAGGAATCAAGTACAGAGATAACAGGAAGGTACCCATTTTTCAAGCCTGCATTACAGGTATTTCGGTTGAGCTCTGTTACGTTCTTTTTTTTTCTGTGGAACTCCGAGGTTAAAATTTAGTTGGTAAACTTGCCTCCCCAAAACAGGCGGTCTGGTTGCATGAATTTTGGCGAACATGCGATACGGAAATTGATGCACGCCCGGTGCTCAACCAGCCAGCAAGTGTCCATGTCTGCAGTGGCTGTGCTCGATGCTCTGGCGACTGAACTCGTCTCTGAGCTGGGCCAACATGCCGCAGATGCGACCCATGCTGCGAAGCGGGTCACTATGATGCCCAAGGACGTGGACGCCGCCGTGGACGTTGTTTTTTCCGGCCGGGTCGCCACTCGGATCCACGACGCCATCGGACATGTGGCCCAGTCTGTGGCGGAGTCGTATTGCAGACAGCGGGGCGCCATGTCTCGGCGAAGACGAGTAACCTTTTCTCCCGTTCCGACGATTCGAACTATCACGTTTTACAATCTCAGAAGAATATATATGAATGAATAAATATAGTTTCCTTCTCTGCTCTTTTTACCATCTTGTATCTATTCGTCAATTGGCTTACTCTGTTTTTTTTTACCGCCTATTGTGGTGAACGCTTAAAATGTAAAATTTGAAAAGTTTCTTCGTGATTTAAAAGCGTAGAATTATCGCCTAAATTTGTGTACGGGGTCCAACTCGAGTTCTTTGTTTTCTCATCTCTTCATGCAGTTTTGACGTTTAAGTTGGCAATAATTTTAGTATAGTACATTACATCGGGTATGGTTTATAAAAATAAGAATGATGAGAAATAATGATGGATTCATTGAATGCGCAGAAGCATCTGTGGGGGATTTTCCCTTATTTATCTAGAGTTTTTCAAGTTCGTCTCGGGTTGGTTTGTAGACGAAATAACTCTTCTGTATTGTGATGTAAGCCAATCGAAATAAGGATAAAATTGTTGACAATTTAAACTTTGAGATTTTTTTTTACCTGTTCTCTTCAACAGCTAAAACCAAACTGGTTTTGCATTAAAAAAAAATATGGCTTATAAACACACTCATGGCAGAATAATGCGCCAAAAATGACTGAATAGCACGCCAAAACACAAAAAATAACAACAGTTGCTAGCAGCGTGTTCCACAACTGTTTTGCCAGGAAAAATAAATTCGCCGTAAATTTGCTCTCTCGGCTTCACGGGAGTTTTTTTTTCAGCCATGGGACATGAAAGCCCCAGACTTTCCATGCACTGTCTATTTTTGTTGAGGTTAAGAAAATCAATGCATCATGGCATTTCCGCTATTCCCCCTGTCAACGTTACATGTTTTACTCCAATATTTTCGAGGAAACAAATTTTTCTTTGCACAGGGGTCTTTCTGATCTTCAAGAATTCTGTTCCTAGTCATTTCCAGGAAGTGGATTTCCGTTTGAGGTTACAAAATGCGTAGTCAACAGTTGTTGTTATCAATGTTTCAATACGTCCACAAGGATCCAAAAGAGAAAAAACATTTGACTGTGGGATTAGAAAATAATGGAATGAAGGCTATTGTCCGGCGTCTAATACGCCGATTGTTTCCTTGAAAGCCGCAGATTTTTATGGGATTTATTCTGATTTTCTTTTTTTAATCGTGTTTTCTGTCCATACAGTATTTGGTTTGGATATTGAAGGACACGAAGTGAGTTTCCACGACCAAACTTCAGTAATATTAAGGGGTATTTCTCTCATAACAAATGTATGGTGACGAAGAGACGAACAATGTATTTTTGAGATCTGATCTTGTCTCAACATGAGATGAGCAAGAAAAAAGTGTATGAGCACTGTTTCTTATGAAGAAAACACATTTTGAATCGCGGTTTATCTGATGAGTGGGAATATGTGCCGTGGAGAGTACTATTTTTATACGGTTTTCAATTTTTTATCACTTGCATTTTTGAGATTATTCTTCCTTTTAAAGGTATTGTACTTCCAAAATTTGGACAAAGCTCAGCATTAACTCAGTCAGATTCTTATGCCAAAGCAGGTTGTTTTTGACGTGAAAAAATTTTGGAAAAATTAATATTTTCAGCGTTTTGGAGAAATATTTTGGAGCCATGCTTTGTAGTGGCTTTGAAGCTGTGAGAATTCTTTGCGGCTGCCTTGAAAGGTTAGCATTGACATTTTGGTTTCCATTGTTGACAGGAAATATAAATTGTGAAACATTTAAGTGGATTTACTTCCAGAGCTGACTGATATTGTTTAATTGGGGAAAAGATTTCAGGAATAATTGAAGTGACTTTCCGTTTTGTTCGAATAAATGTTCAGATATTAACTTCTCATCTTCGAGTGAACCGGTTCTAGAATCTCATTTGAAACATTTCTGCTTTCTTTTTTTCATTCTCTCGCACTCATGGATTTTGTTTGTTTGGTTGTTTACTTCTGTGTCGAACAGATCGAGAAAAAGTGCCATGCTGAAAATGCGTAGAAGATTTTGGCCTCGCGTCGCGATCGATTGGGCCTCTTGCGCGTTCGTGGTGTCCATTTCCATTATAACGTACGTGTTCGAAGTGTTCTTTGTTTTGCCCGCGCTCGGAGTGTCGCACAACGTACCCACCGTGTTGGGCATGTTTGTTCTGCTCAATATTTTGGGCAACCTGGGTTGTCTCATGGCTACGGACACGTCGTGCAGCTCGGACTTAATTGGCGTTCCCGACGTGATGCAGGCTCAACGAGAAAACTGGAGGTTGTGTTACGACTGTGGTGCTCTGGCTCCACCTCGGGCCTGGCACTGCAACGTGTGCAAGACGTGCATTTTGAAGCGGGAACATCATTGCATGTTTGCCGGGTATTGCGTCGGGCATCGGAATCACAGGTTTGGCTGTTAATTTATTATTAATTTTTTCGTTGAAATGGTTTCAAACTCTTTGGAACTCCCGTCTCGGACGCTTAGCTCAGTTGCGACGGAGCGTTGTTCTTTTTTGAGTTAAATTTTAATTCCGTACCAGTGCAAGGGCCACATCTGAGTCGTGGCCACGGGCGATCACTTTTTTCGTGTCCACGGGCTACATTGCAGAGGTGGAGAATAATTGCGGGCCACAATAGATTTAATAAAGGAACCTGTGGACTGTTCAACAACGAAATTTGAAGGAACCAGCAAAAATCCTTTATGAGAGAAAATTTCGTTGTAAAGAGCCCCTAAGACATTCGGAGAGAACCGTTTAAAACCACAAAAAATTCAGTATACTGTACTGAGAAAATCGTTGTAGAGGAGATAGATGCAAAAATAATCCATAATGCTAACACTCATTCCAATCAGCTAAATATATAATGTGGTATTGTATGTTCAAAAAATAAGCTGGATAAAGGAAGAGCTAATCATACAAATTCTTTAAAAAAAAATCATGGAGAACGGAGGCAGTTCAATTTTTGAATTTGAATTTTTGAAGCATATGAAGACTGAGTACATCCCTTTTTTCATTTGCTCATCCTCTGTGATTATCTTGGCTGAAAATCACAGGAATCAATTGTCTTCTCTTTCAAAGATTTGAGGGAGAATTTTCCGTGTCAAATGTTTTCCCGAAAGGCTCCAAATTTGCCCATTCTTTTAATGGAAAATTTAATACAGTATTTAAGTTAGTTCTGTTCATTGAAACGTAAAGCTGTAAAGCATTTTCACGGGGTTGAGAAAGATCTTGAACATGTTAAATTCATGTTTCGATATGAAGGACTCCCTCTACGATTTTTTCTGTAACTAATTGATGTTTGGTCCCATGGGGTTCTATCCCCTTATTTTAGGGGTTCTCTACAGCGAAATTCTGTATCCAGCAATTTTTTTTACTGGTCCCTTGAATTTCGTTGTAGAGAGAGTCCACCTCTATTCTTTGCACCCTGGAAATTGTGGGGGAGTGACTGTGGGTAACAAGACGAGTCTCTGCGGTCGGATCCGGCCCGCGGGCCATATGTTGGACAGCACTGCGGAATGGAGTTCACTTTTTTCATTCTAACTTGAGCGTTCCGTGTTAACGCGGAAAATCGCGAGGTTTTTGCGTTTCCAAAGGGTATTTCAATTAATGGCGCTGAGAAATAAGCCCAACTCGTGATGTAGATTTGGGCTAACAGTTTTCAGATTACAGGACATGGGGAAACTGATGATTCTTGGAATCTTTATTAAGTTGCCCTATTTTGTATTGCAGGTTTTTTATGCTGTTCCTGGCGTACATATGGGTCGGAAGTTTGTATTCCTTGTTTTATCACTCCCAGTACCTGTACTCATTTTTCCAACTCTCGCACATCTTCGACTTGATGCGATTCTTCACTCCACTCATGTTTCTGTTCTTCGGATTCAGTGAAGTGCCGGTTGCGTTATCGTGCTTTATTTTTTCCATCAATCTCGGCGGATTTTTGTTTGTGACTGCCATGCTCGTGTTTCATTTGCGATTAATTTTCGTGAATCGAACTTCGCACGAAGATGCGCACGGCGAAGTCGAGTATCATTTGGGCAGTGGTTTCAAAAATATGAAGGAAGTGTTCGGAGTGAGATGGTTTCTCACGTGGATTTTCCCGTTCGTACCTTCTGCCCTTCCGTCTGATGGTACTAAATGGGATATTCTCTCGCGTGATCCTGAGGTTGTGTACAAGAATCAGTAGTACTGTATGTTGTTCGAGGTTTGCTTTTATCGTTGCAAAAAATGCAATTCGACTTTTTCGCTGTGCATTAAAGTAAATCTTGTCAAAGGTGGTGCTCGTGTAATGTGTTCTCTGCGATGTCAGCTCTATATTTTTTGAACAACGGACTTTTTCACAGGATTCTCTTGCTTTTTGTTGTTAGTTCTTCGGAATAGAATCGATGTTAAGCTGAAAATCATATTCCTTCGGGAGAAAGAAAAAAGCTACCGATCGAGTATTGCTAGTCGATTAACTGTTACAAATCGTGATAACTTCGATGTATTCGCTGTTTTTCTAGAAGCATTGTAATTGAATGCTTGCTTTAAACAATCAGCACAAATATGTTTTTCATCATTTTTTGACCGCCTAATCCCTGAAGCTGCTCAGGATATGGGTTCTCTAAATTCTAAAAGGAGTGAAAGCGCAATATCTGCTCATGGCTTTCTTCTCGAGGGTTCATCGGATTTTTATACTCGGAGGGGTTTAAACCAAGGGAGAAAACTAAACTTTTTGAGTGTGCTAACCTGTGATTCTAAGGCAGGTACGAACCCAGGAACACCTCGAAAGAAGTTTGTTTCGGATGCCCTTCCTGTCGCACTGATCAAATCTTGTATTATGTCTTTTGCATTCACGATCTCTGTCGTCGACGCTTGATTGAGAGGCATTATTAAAATGAAGAACATTGTTAATTGTGTGGTATTTTTCTTTGAAGATTTTTTTGAATTGCGTTGTGGTGTAGGATTATTTTTCTTGCAATTTCAGAACCGTAAATTCCTGCGCGGCATTTTTCAACTTCGGAAAAATGTCGACTTTGTGGAAATGCATCCTTGGACCAGCTTTGTATTCGTCTTACAAAGAAGTTGGACCTTATGCGGTGCGACGTGTTTCTTATTCATTGGAAAAAATTAAATTCTAAATCTCGTTTTTATCATTACAGACAACTGTGTATAGGCCGAATACAGCTGAAGTCGTTGGAGAATTGATCGTGAAATCGGTCAGTCTGTTGGTCAGTCTATTGGTCATTCCTTTTTGTGCCGCTTGCTTGTAAACTTCAAGTTTTTGGATTACTTTCATGGGTTGTTCATCTTGAAAAGAAAACTAAATTTTTTAAATAAAAAACATTGAGCACAATTTGATCAAGGTCAAGTGTTCTCAAATTCAAATAAAGTACTGTACTGTACCTCAGTTGGCCAGCTTTAAAGTGTCGTCACTCGTATTCCTCATATCAGAAAAATATGAATTTTTCTTCGGGCAATTCTCAGACGGAATTTTTTGTTCCTGATGCTGTCTAAAATTGAATGATATTTTAGTGACAGATTGAACACTCCTCGGAAATATCTGCAGATGCTTGGCTTTTGACAATTGCTCTGATTTACTCAATTCTTTTCCGCGTGAAATATCTGGGAATAATTTGTGGACGGAGTATTTCCAATTCCTTTAATATTAATCTTTTTTTTTTTAACTGCGCTCGATCCTGGAAATTGTGTTTGAATTTTTACGATTCGCTATAAAGTAAACCAAACTTTTTTTGTCTGGACGTCTGCCTACTTGCAGGTGACTCTGGTCAAGTACGTGACGATTGGACTATCACCGTTTTTTGTATCGTACCTGCGACGAAATGGCTACTTTTCAAAAGAGGGCATGTTATTTTTGGCGAAGTACTCGGCAGGCTTTGCTGTACTTTACTGTTCCGCAGTTTTTGTTCGTGGCTTCGGTAGGTTTCTCAACCGAGATTATTTGCAATTTCGATCCGTGCTTGACAATGCCAGACGAAGTCCCGAAGCGGTGAGTTTTGGTGTAATTTGATGTTCTTTATTCGCTTCTGTTTGCTTCCTGACTCACGAGATCAGCAGATGGTTTTTCTAGAAAATTTGAAGTCTTTTTAGTTGAAAAGTTAGTGGTAAAACGAATAAGCGTGTTTACTTCGTTATCTTTCATCACCCTGAGTGAACATGAAGCTTAAGTATTTTCTCCTTTCCAGAGAAAGTTAAATGTGAAGTTTTTGAAACTACAGTTTTTGGGCTAGATTTTTTTAAAGAAAGTGTGAAATAATCCAGAGATATGTGTGTCGTCTCATCAGAGTTGCATAACAATTTTGGTATTTATTGCCGTGGTGACTCCACGAATTTGACTCTGCATGAAATTTTCATAGCTTTGAAGAGGTGCTAAGTTAAAATTTTTGTAATGTCACCCTGTCTGATGATCGCCATTTCAGACTGCATTTATTTTCGCATAGGATCCAGATGTTGTGAGCAGTTGTCTTGACATCCGTTTATGCATACCAACCAATTTTTAGTGATCAGACAAATTAACATTTTATTCTGCTCTTATGTCTCCTTTTGACTATTGCTTTTCCTTTATCACTAACCCCCGCCTTCACTGCATTCTTTTCATAAGTTATGTGTTCGTTGTCCTTTTTTTTTAAAATTAAAGCTAATTTCAATTTTCTTCTTGCGAAGTCACAGTATTACTGGATGAAGAGGAATTGTGGGAAATCGTGATATTCTGGGAATAAAATTGCTTTAAAACTGAGTTGACAGGATGCTGAAACTTCGAGGCAAGAATTCATTTGCCCAAATTGTCTTTCACTCCCTTTCAAAACACATCAAGTTATATTTTATTGATTTTCTCTTTCCTGCGTCAAGAATGTAAAAGCCGGAAGGCCACCGAAAAAATCCAGTTGCGGAGGTTTGAGAAAGAAAGAATTTGATTTAGAAAAATTTTAATGCAATGCTTCTAAGGGAATTCAGACACGGACTTGAAAGAAAAAAATTTCGAGGTTCGGAGTTTCGAGTTAGCAAGGTTCAACTGTATCATTATTGTACCTTTTTAAATCAGTAAAAGCAGAACGGGAATTTTAGAGGACTGAACTTGGCGTTATTCTTATCAAATGTTGGTCCCTTTTTAGCATTTCAAGCGTGGATGACACAAATTTGTATCAAGGTTGAAATATCAAAGAAAACTGATGATGTATAAATTTTTGCATCTGTCTCAGATTTGAACTTATTAAATGATACTCGAAATGTGTCGTTCTTGCGTTTGTGACGCTTCATTTTCATTGTTCCGAACGCATGCTTTGATTTGCAGAAGGCTCAGCTGGCGAAGTACGACTTCGACTTCAGAGGATGGGAGGTTGACTTTAACGTGACTTGTGTAAGGTAAATTGCAACACCAAAGAGTTTTGCTGTGATGAATTTTGAGGAATTGTGTCCCGTCTGTGATGTTCCAGTCCCGGTGAAAAGACTACTATGCCAAAATTCGAAAACAACCGTCCTGTGAGCTGGACCGAGATCCCATTGTGGTATTTGACTCAGGCCATTGCCGTGTTTGTCGGGCGTCCGTTACTTTACCCTGGCTCCCTTGGACTGCTGAACTCTGCCATGAGTATGTAGATGCCAAAAATTGTAGATTTTTGCTTGCGTATTGTTTGAAATATATCTGTGGGTGCACCGCGATGCGGACGTTATTGATGCTTGGACTTTGTCCCTATGTCGAAACTTCCGCATGTCGGATAATGTTTTCCCATAGAATTCCATGTAGGCATATTTAAATGGTTCTTTTGTTCATCAAAAATTAGGAGTCATTCCCCCAAAAATTGAATAAACCTTGTTTTCCTCAACTTCAAGATACAGAAAATGACTGTGCTGAAGAAAACCCACATAGAATCTGACCTTTTGGCATCAATTGGAGCTCAAGAAGCAACGAACAAGAACAATTCTTGCTATACTGAGCACAGATGATGGAAAAATCTCTGAAAATAAGAAGCAAAAATTGGCCTGTTTATGTTTTTGATAAAGAATTTGGTGTAAATTTATTATGAAGCTTATTTTAATTTTAATTTCATATGAATGGCTCAATTTGTTCCAATATATATCAACATTGGGACAGATAAATGTTTTTAGATTTTCTAGAAATGTGGAAGTTTGCGTAGCTCAAGATATTGTCCGGATGTCAGGGCAGATTTTTCGAGTTCCAAGTGCTCCTATATAGAATACTATAGTCCGTATGTCGGAGTCCCACTATACAGTACATACCGCTCTTTTTTTCCAGGTCAAGCATTATCTGCGGGTCGGTATTCCTTAATATCAAAGTATAATGCGAAGAGGTTCAAGCTGTCCACGTGGCGAGGAAATCACGTGGACAGCATCTTCGTTGATGCTCGCCGTAACGGGTGAGTCAATGTTCTGATGTTGGAAAAAAAATAGTACGAATATTTTTAAATCAGGTGCGATTTAGCGCGTGTGTGACACTTTCAACCTGTTCAAATGGATGGATGAATTTCTCACGTCTGTTCTTTTCTCTTTTTTTTCAAAATTCTTCTGCTTATTTTCATTCCGAGAAATTAGCATTTTTCTGAAAGCCGTGAACATTGTATTAAGTGTTATCTTTGTCTGAAAATTATTTGAGTTCCGATCCCGGGCGTCCTATGCATTATTTTCAGCGTGAGTGGGACAGTTGAGAATGCATAGTCTTCTTTTTTATTCCGAAGAATGTTCAAGATAAATTCTCGTCCACCACCTTTTTTTTCTCTCACCCACCCCGAAAACGACGCTACCCCATAAAATTATGGCATAAATGAACTCATGGTACGCGGGAACTCATTCGGAGGGTGGGGCAAAAAGACATTCTTTAAGCAGTTTTTTTGGATATGGACACATTCTGCGCGTGTCCAGTTTTTTGTTGTTGTTGCTAAAAATCAAGAATTGTGAAACTTTTCTGTGTCGATCCATTTTCACCCTTTGATATTTAGTTTTTCCTGCTCTTTACTGTCTGCAGTTTCCACAATTTAGGAATATTTTCCACTTCCTGTTGAATCTCCAACTGATTCCTTAAATTATTATTGCTTGAACCATTATTTTCAATGGGAAAGGAGACTTGGCGGCACACATTTCCGTTTTATTCATTTTCTGTTGGTTAGTTGTACTCACATGCCCGTGAGGGGCTATGGTTTTGGGGATTTTTCCCATTAAAAATGTATCCCCAAATAAGCCGCGCACCCTATTTTTCTGTCGCAATTTCTGGGAAAAAGGTTTGCCTGTTACTCCAGTGGAGACGGTATACCGTACTTTGTTCTACCAATTCATTCATCAATTTGCCATCGATCTCTTCGTGATTTCAGAGTCGATTATCTTCGAAAATTTTGTGTTCGGTCTTGATCCAACCAGGTACAGTATCTCTGCTTGATAAAAAAAAAACCACCCCCTGAAGCTCTGTTGGTGATACCTGTTTATCAGCACCGGTTTGCTAGTGATTTCAATTTCAGAAGTAAGAACTTCAAGATCCAAAGATTTAAAAAATGTATATATTTTACGAAAGGGGGGGGGTTGAAAGGAAATGCAGGGCGCCAAATTTTCGAGTCCGTGAGAAATAATCGTTCAAGCAATAACAATTTTAGGAATATTTACATGTGAAGCAGCAAAAATTGTTTCTCCTATCATGCTACAGAAAGTAAAGGATTCTTTACTCCCTTAGTATCGAAATGAATACTGTACTGTATTTACCCTTCCGAGAGGAATTATCTGATGGAGGAAGCTGCCATATTTTGTGTTTTTATTGTCCTACAGGAAGTACACACTATTGATTTTTTTTTAAATGAATACCTACATAATTAAAATTGATTTCACAATTTGTGATTTTTAGAAAACAGAAAACTGGGGTGCATGTCTTATGCGAGACTGGCATTTTTGACATGATTTTCAGAAGAATATTAGGGTGCAGTCTAACTTTAAGGCGCGTGGTACTCGAATAAATGCGGTAAAGCTCTACAAAATGAGAAGCGTGGCTAGTTTTCCGTTGGAACTCAAATTGTAAAAACGTTCGCAATTCTTTGTTTTATTCAGGATCTCTTTTTTTTTTGGGAGGACTGTGAAAATGTAGACTTCTACTGCTTTGTGATTGCTAATCTTTCAAGCATAGGCATTGCCGAATGAAGTATAAGCGTTGAATACCGTATTTATGATCACTTGTCTTAGGAAACCCCATGGAGACTATTTGGTGGTCTGTTGTG